GGAGGGGGGAGGGAGAATAGAAGGGTTTCAAAAATGTGAAAGAGACGGACACAGAGGTAGAAAAAAGGTGAGGTGAGTACTGTGGAAGTAGTCGAATATGACATACAGTGGGGTATTGGTAGTTTTTTGTCAGAAATCAACTGCCGATTAATAGACTTTCTTGCCGTAAGAGTATACCTTGCCCAGGATGCACCACATGAAGGTAAGTCCATCGCACATCCCGGGTTCTACAGTCATCATAGGTACGAAAATAATCTGTCACAAAGCAAGCGGTCGTGTGTGTGCTGGCTGATTATCTGCACACTTCGAATGCTTGTTCTGTTAATGCCGCGCATATCTCATAGGAGCTTGAAAGGAATTGAGTAGCACATTCCACTAAAGCGTGATAAATGCAGTTTAAGCTATTACTTCGTTTGAAAGTGGCGTCAAAAGGTGATGAAAATGGTAATAATAACCGAGGAAAATTATAATTTAGAAGTGGTTACCTTAATCATTGAGCTTTGCAAAATTTATTCCCCCGGATGTAATAAATAAAGGGCAAAGTACTTTAATGAGAAAGCGAATTAAATTTAGAAAAGGTACGAATGATATTATGTAACCAAGGAACCTTGTATATTGCAAAATTGTGTAAAATCGAATTTTGATAACTTCAGCTGCAACTTTTTGTGGCCGAAAAACTTGGAGCCACTCGAACCCACTTTCACCTGTTGCTTTTGGATACGTTATTTTGCTTCAGAAAAGTTGGAAAATGTCCTCACTATCTTTGAACAATGATTGAATTTCAAATTTCCATCATAATCCGCCTCATCACAGGTGTCGCTAGTGACACCACCTCACTCGGTAATTGTCCTGCATGCATTGTTAAAAATTTGTTCAACTAGTTTACCAAACAGACCATTGTTACTACATCTAAATAATCGTCAATTTACTGTTTGGCCAAATAGTTAAGATGGAGGGCTCATTTGAAGTTGGCCATAATTTAGCCTCTCCAGATTATGTTTGTAAATATGATACATTACTGCAACAAATGATATGTCAGTTGAGACGGGGTGCGAGGTGGGGTAGAGGGCGGGGGGTGGGGGGAGCGTAGATGGGGGATACGCCAAATTAGTCCTGTCTCTAGAAAATTCCTATGTGGACTTGGGAAGTAAATTCTACTTATTCGGTGCATAATTTGCTTTCTACTCAAAGGTTTAATCAGGTAAAATTAGTACAGTTAAATTGCCAAAGTCCCCCTTCGAATAGCATCAGCATGGCTTTCTGTGTACACACACACGCACGCACATACACGTTCGAATCACCTATGGGAAAATTTTGACGTCTTTGACTATTTTTCAGTTAGACGGTGGTTTATTGACATCACCTCACAAGCGAAGCCCAAACGAACCACCAAAACGACACACGTAGCTTATCCATATTCGGGTCAAAAATTTTGCTTTCTTAAGTGCTGTTGCTAATGCTATTCAACTCACCTCTTCTAAACTTACATTCGTTTGTGATAATAAATATCCTGACGTTTTTTTCCCTGAGTGGCATTTGAACCGCCGTGTGTAATGATGTGGCAAACATGACCTTAGCATTTGTGGGCAACTGCCCATAGGTTTTAGGTCAGAGGTAATCAAAATTTCCCCGACATTAAGGTAACCAAATTTATACATGTAATAAAGATTGTGTATCTATTTATTTGATGTAAATAGTATTATACGTGTTCAACATAGTAAAAGGATCTTATGGAGCTCGTTAACTGAAGAATTTCGTCTTTCCTCCACTGGTCACTGGAAGACCTTAACAAACAATTTTGCTTTCTCGAGCAATGTACAAAAACGAATCAAAGTGGTAAGATCAATCCCGCCAGATTAAGTGACACCAGCCAATAAACAGTAAACATCACAGATCAGCATCTGGTGCTATCTAGGGAAGGCACCTTGAAATTCATATTTTAAAACCTTAACTGTCCATTTAGTCAATATTGTACACTCTAAGTGCCAGAATCAAATATGAAAGGACCTTTAATACGTTAGATTCGATCAGTATATCTGATTGATTCCCTCCCGTCACCAATCGTCAGACTTTCTATTAATTGATTTTCGTTTATTTTCTCAACTAAAAATGGCTAATTATTTGCATTTCTGTTAATAATATTGATAGCAAACACAGCGAAGCAAAACATGACTGGTGATCTGATTTCTAGAATTTGATAATAAATTCATTCAAACTTCAAACAGTGAAATGTAAAGAAAAGACAGACAATTTTTGGCATTCTCTATTAGTGCAATACTAAAGAACGGGTTAGATTAGTCTCACTCGAACTTCTTTGCTCATTGGATATTTTAATAATCAGTACACGGGTTTCATTTAAAGACGCATTCTGGATCCCGTTTTAAAATAAACATTTGTAGGGACCTGTTGTTAAAGACAGCACAAACTGATGTTTGGCAATGACCTATTGCATTAGACTAACTGATTAGTAAGCTCGAATTACTTTAACTATAATCTGTCACATGAATCTTAGTGCTGAGTGATGGAGAGTAAACAATAGAATATCAAAAAATTGACTAACATACAATCCCATGATCATTGCATGGATGCTGCAATCTTTACAAATCAGTAGTTATCCCGATTATTTAATTTAAACAATTAATCTGGAGTGTCAGGAAATGAATTATAGAAAGCCCAATCTGACATCCCATCGTATTGGGCATTGCATAAAAATAGCTGAACACGCTTTAAATCTTCATTGCATAAAAAGTCGAATTTAAAAGGGCAAAAATTTTACAATAACAATTCAGACCACGTGGAACCCTGTTGATGGATTTAAAAGCAATTCAGATGGGGATTTTTCAGGGCAAAAAACGTGATTTTTCGCAGCCAGCTACTTAAAAATGAGGGAGAAACAAATCTGATGCATCGATTTACATGCTGTTTTATTAAAAGTCAAAGATTACACAAGTGGTATGGGTAATAGTAAAGCCATCATTATTAGGTTTCAACCATTCATTGGTCTGCATTGGGGCGTCACAACGAATAACAACGTTTCTCTATTAAAACTGTCAACTACAAACTGATCCAAAGTTATACAACAATCCTACAATAAAAATATCATGAAAGAATTTCCATGGCATGCATTGATTAAAATATAATTTCCTATTCCGGAAAAAATTCCGTATTAACTTTCAAGTCAACGCGAATTTCAATAAACGGTCCCATTTTTATTCGCAAAAAAAAACTGCTAAAAATTTGCCCTGATGTCATTAAAAACTTCCAGATGCTATTAAGTTTGTTTTTTCCGGACACATTTTTATGGCCAATAAGAATTTATTTACTTTTACTAAGCTTTTAGAAATTGCGATCTTTATAGCTCCTTGGTGTATTCGTAATAACCGAGTTGGGCAGGAACATATTGGACAGACACTACGTGATCTTGTTACTATGTTTATGGGTGAAACGTGCAAAAAGTGTGCATTGATGATAAGTTGCCATATTATATGAGCACTGCAAAAGATAGCTTTAAAAAATATTTCAATAAAGACCCTAGAATATGAGTCCTTTTAGCTTAAATTTAGCAAGAACCTAGCTACTTATGGAATGTTAATGCGCAAATTTATCTGCCGTACATCTTAATACTCACATAATCTTACTACAATGGTTTCGGCTGAAATTATTAAGAACTTGCGAATCGACTGATTCAAATCCGTAATTGCCATGTAGAATCACATGTATTTCGTTTATAGTATCAAAAAAAAATTCCCCATATAGAGCTTTATGTACCAGTCACAATTAACTGAAACGCTGCAAAATTATCGGATTCTAAATTTCATTAGAAATGTCCTTAAAACACGTAATTTGAATTCTTGCTAATCAAAAGCAAATCAAGCTATATTGGCGATTTTTTCCTTTAATGATACATAATAATATACATTTTTATGCATTTGTAAATTTATCAACTGAATAATTCGAGACGCAACTTTCCCTTTTCCATTTTAGAAATAAGATTGCAGAATTTCGATGTTTTCCGTGTCCAATTAAATATTTTGAAATAATAAATATTCCATTTCACTAACCAATAGTAGGAAAGAATCATTATTTTGTGGAAACACGTTTTGTAATAATTCTACCATATTTAATGGAATACTATCATATTAAGCAATAGTTTAATTTATTATTTAATTTTATTAGAAAACTGTGATCGACGCAATTATTCGTGTTTGAAGATTACAAGAAAAATAGAATACTTTGATTTCTATTACCATGTTTTGGATGAAATGCTATAGGTCACTAAGGGTAAGTCATATTTCGCCAATAAGAAAATTTCCACCGAAAGGACTGCCTGATTGGTTGGTCAATTTTACCCATGCACGGCTCTTTCTAATACACTATGGATGAATCACTTTACCAAAGTATGAACACGGTGACAGGAAAGTCAGTAGATCTCTAAGACAGTCACTATACATGGATTGCGATTCTACAGTTTTAGATAGTATTGAGGCCGTGCGTGCCTATATCGAGAATTGCTTCGCAAATAGCTCCCAAAGAGAAAAATTCCGGAAAGTTCTAGAAGAGTTTGTTGAAATAGGAAATTCAAATTCTGCCTGGTTGAACTCATTCCTCGTTGGATTAACCTTTGTCTACATTCTTATGATATGTATCGGCTTTACGGGAAATATTCTTGTTATAATTGTCGTCATATGCAATCGCATTATGCGTGCTAGTCCAAGGAATCTTTTCATTTTCAATCTGGCAGTTTCAGATTTGATCCTCTGTATTGTCACACAACCTCTCAATATCTATCGAATCCTTTCAACTCGGCATGGATGGCAATTGGGACTCCCGATGTGCAAACTCTTCTCAATGGTGCAGGCTATGAATGTGTACGTTTCCTCGATGAGTATTACCGCCATCGCCTTAGACAGATTTCGAGTAAGACTTGCTGGCGCATTGCCTTAAATTTTATTCTCAAATTCTATTGATTTTGATGGTTTCCTTTATTTAAATTTTTGGCCTTTTGAGGTAAAGGAATCCTGGTAAAATTTAAAATTTCTTGCGTCTGTCGTTAAAGCTGAGATAAGCCCGTTTGTATTTACTTTTATAAAGCTCATTCCTATACAATATTGAGCTAAATTCAACCAAAAAACTGTAGGATTTAATAAATGGCTAACCCCAAATTTCATCTTTAACTGCTTTCGTAAATTATGACGCTTCATTGGAAAATTTTCGGTCATTTTTTTATTTTACCTATCAAAATTAATATTAATTGAGCTTTTTTCAAGCATGTTAATGAAAAAAGGATGTTACAAATGATCATAAATGAAATTACCAGCACCACACGTGAAATATCTAATTCAGGTTCAGTTCCAACAGACATGGTTATTTCCTAATTTTGAGATAAAGGAAAAAGCATATCTTTCCCTATTTCTCACATCCCTCAAATTGACGCCCCTCGTGCCAGCGTAAAGAAATTGAGTAAAAAATATAAATTCCCAAACCAATCTTTGTAAACATCGAAATATTTGATTGATTTATTGAATGATTGCAGAGGTCTTTCTGAAATTAAATCGTTCTGTTTTAAAACCGTAACTTTTATGAACAGATTTGTTTCCGAAGCAATTCGAGTGTAAACGATTGCTTTCAAAAGACGAACATAGTTCACGCAGGAGGATAAATTCAATTAATTTCAAATTAATGGAGTTTTTTTTAAAACAAAAATTTAATAGGCATATTTTTTGTGGATAATGTGATTTTTTAAATCAATGGACATTGTCATTTGAAGTTTGCACTTGTATGCAAAATGCAAACACCTTTGTAACGTAAGTGCTAACCTTAGTGGGTTAGTCTTGAAAAATCTGCCAAATAATTCAAATAATAATTAAAAAGCCAGAAAATTTAATCATTAAGTCAACATTCTGGATTTTGAGTTAAAGTTCTCTTAAAAATGATTTGCACATTAAAATGCACAGCTGTTTAGAGGAATAAATTTTTTGATTATTGGGAAGGTCGATTTCATTGAATTCACTTTTCGGGGTTGGGATAATTTCGACATATAAATTTATCCTAGTTTACTTTAAGTTAATTATAGAAGTCCTTATAGGCAGCCAACTTTTTGCAAGCTTAAACATATATTTTAATCTTTAATGAGTCTTTAAGTAAATACACTATAAGTATTTTAAGTTGACCATATTTTCTGTTGACATGACCAGGGTAAGACGAATGAAAAGTGCAAACGATGCTAATACAAGAAGGGCTAAATTTTTTATATTAAATAAAATACCAGTTTTTTTAAAACAATCACAGTTCAACGATAAAGTTGGCACTAATTTCTAGTTGAACGCTATTGAGGCATGTTTAGTTAAAATGCGTCAAGTCGGGTTAAAGGAACTCAAAAGAATGCGTGCTTTCGTATAAATAAACCCCCAAATTCAAGATCGTTTTACGAATTGAGGAAAGCGTTTCCTCTTAAATCATTACGATCAGAACTGAATCAAAACCGGAAGGAATACTAAAGTGCCGAAAAGATAATCAGATAGACTCTCAGAACTCTCTCTCTTCCCCACCCCACCCCACCCCTTCTTTAAGGTTGAACATGAACTTTAAGCAAATGGACAAAATATTAAAACGGGCACTTTTCAATCCTTTATGCTCGATTTAATTAATCATTCAATTAAAGCTGGAAAGGAAGTGTTACATCCACTGTGCGATTTGTTCGCACGAATTTTGTGGACATTCTAATGAAAAATAGCTCAAATTAAAACAAACTATTATTTTTGTGAGGCGGGATTTTTTTGCGTGCAAATGCTTTAATTACTAGATAACATAAGAGTTAGTGCTCTTACAAATGCATAAATTTACTTAAAATTTGTTCTAATTTAAAGCTGATTGAATCAAATTTTCCCTTAACAAAAAACAGTTTTCCTCATTTTGCTTAAATATTACTGAAGGTATTTCTCTGAATAACTTGTTTGTAGAAGAAGAAGGTCCTTTCTACTAGCATCACCATTATATGTGAGTGCTGTTGGTTGACCAATTTACAAGAAGGGAAATGACATACTCCATCCTGTGTCTTCTAAATTTACACAAACGCCATGATTGCAAATAGTCCAATAAAATATAAAGAGTTTTAGGATTCTGTTATTTACAGGAATGAAACTTTTGACAAGGAAGCACGACAAGATTTTCGTCGAGTAAAAGCGAATTTAGATTTCATCTGATAAGACCCTAAATGGGCCATTTGAATTTCCATTTACCCACTTGAGTTCCTTATGTGCATACCAAATTTGGGCAATGGAATGACTAGAACTGCCAATCCTTTGAGTAAAATAGTTTCACTTTAGGATAACGTTGAGTACCTGACGCGCCTAGTATCAAGGCGAGTAATTTGGATTAAATTTGCAGAAACAATACATGGTGTGCCGTCTGTCAATTGGAGATACAATGGTAGAGCGATTCGTCGCAATTAAGAGATTGTGATAGCAAGTAGCAAATACGAAGAAGCAGCAGGGTTGATTTAAATAAACTTGATGTGGTGTTTCATCAGCTGTTGTTAAAAATTTTGTGTTGAAATAATATTTTATTTGAATTTGAAAGAAATATCAAGTGGTTGGCCAGCCAATCACACTTCAATATGTGATGATGATGACAAAATTAAATTCAAACTTCATACTAAGTTCAGTTCTTTTGAAAGATGATTATTTCATTATACAATGCCAATAAATATACGATTTGCGGAAAACAAAGAGAAAAGGACATATTGAAATGCATTCACAAAGCGATTTATATTATTTAAGCCTCTAATTGATAGCATTTCCTCTTTAGTTGATAATGAATCCATCTCGTCAGGATATCAACGTTAAAACAGTCTACGTGATAATACTTTTCCTTTGGATCCTGGGTTTCATCCTTTCCACACCAATTGGGGTATTTGCAAAGGTTACTATGGCTAATGGTCATTTGATCTGCTCTGAAACTACGACTGACTACAACATGCGAATCACTAAATTGGTCTATTCTATTCTAAGCATGATCTTGCTTTATGGAACTCCGGTGACTCTTGTCAGTATTGCCTATGCCCAGATTTGTATTCGAGTGCATAGGAGAACAAAGAACAAGGCGCCTCGACAAACAACCCCAATAATTCAACCCATAGATGAAAAACCCCTTCATGTTCAACGCGAAAACACTGAGTATTCCGGTGGTCAAGATAGTTCTCCTAATCGACCTTTGCCCAACTCTCGTATTTCCGACGTGGGTCCACTCTGCTCTTATTTCACCCCAAAAAACTGCCCCGATGAACCCGCAAACGCCAACTTGGCTGGAAGACGGAAAGAGAGAATGAAACGACGTATTGACAGGCATAGACGAACCAGTATTCTCCTTGCCAGTGTGGCTATATTTTTCGCCATCTCCTGGCTGCCAATGAACATTGTCAATCTTCTACTTGATTTACGGGAACTGACATTTCAAGTCCTAACTGGCGATTATCCCCAAGATCAAGAAGAAAAGGCCAATATTCTTCTTCCGCTTGTTACAACTCCTGTGGAGGAAACCTCCTCCCCGGTACTTCCTCAAACCTTCCATCCTCTAGGACGAGTTGAAAACTCACTAAGTCTGAAGCGGGAAACAATTCTTGTCATTCAAGCAATATGTCTACTTTGCGTCCTCATTTCCGCATGTATCAACCCCATGCTCTACGGTTGGTTAAACGAAAATTTTAGACGTCGATTTATACAACTTCTCCGGTGTAACAAAAATGCCAAGTTTGCATCGGGTGGTACGGCACAGAGAAGTAAGCCCTGGCAAGTTTGCAAGAAGCGAAGCCCCTATGCTCTTTGGCCTAGTAAGTCACTCACTTAACTTAATTTGAGTAGATTGGTTGATTAAATGGATAGTTATTTATTTATTCGAACAATATAATAAATAGTTGGATAATGAATCTCATAATACTCGATTTATCTTCACCCTTTCAAGAGTTTTAAAAGCTGTGCGTTGATAGAAGACTATTAATTTTTAAACAATGCTTGCTTGATGCTTATGTTTTAATGCCGTTAGATCGTTGATGTAAGTCAGAATGGTGTTCCCCCAAAATAATTGAGGAAAAGTTTAAACGGAATTCAAAACTCTCCTCCCAAGGGAATCACCTTTCTTTTCCATTTGAAGAGGCCTGCCGTCGAAAGGCTAAGCGTCACTCCACCCATTCGGATCAACTCTCCGCCTCCACTTACCACCCAACAAGTCAAAAGACCAGTTTCTACGATGCCCAGACAAAACGTAGCCACTCTCTTGATGGTATTGCCCGAAAGTCTTCCTTGACGACCAACTTTGACGACACAATACCTGTCCTCCTTCTTCCCACTGAATCTAACCCACACTGTGGTATCCTTCTTGAAACTGACATCGACGCCAAATAATCCCACCCAACCGCCCACGTCCCCCCGCCCCCCCCCTCTCCACCCACTCTCTTCAAATAAATGATGATAACTCTATATTTTGTATTTTTATTTTATAATAATAAGTAATAAAATCCAATGGCTGAATTAATTGTTTCCCTTCATCAAAATGTGAAATGTATTGAAAAATTAGTGTCAGAATGTTACAAAAAAACACTGAAGCAATAATAGATTTGGAAAAGATCTCAAGTATCAATCTTTACAGGGGGGGGAAGGGGTTTGGCGGTTGAAGAACTGTTTGACAGAAATAAAGCCATCTTGACGGTGGGAAGATAATGAATATTGACAGGAGTTGCTTAGTTTAAAACGGCTTAAATGTTAACAAATATTTGATGGATAGGCAAAATTGAATTCCGCATCAGATCGTTTCAATGTTCTTTTGCACACAGAGTGAAAAAAACAATAAATCAAAGATCCCAATGTTTGCCCTAAATTTAAATAAAGTGAAAGTACCAAGAGTTCCTCATTAATTCAATTTAAATGCCCATACAACGCTCGGTGGCTTGACGGCCGGATGACGCAGATGAGACAGTATACTTGTTGAGTCTAAGTTAATGTGAAAATTTGATGAACAGTAGGATGAGAGTGAATAAGACAGAAGGTCAAATCGAGCCTAACTTAAGGTTATGAGAATATTGCCAGTAAAATTCACTAGGTATCATTCCCTAATTTTAAAATTTGGCTCCAATCTATACCCGTTCGCTTTTCCGGTCTTCCTTAGTCAAATTCAGCTTGTTGTCCTTCCATAATGAGCTAAAGATCGCTCACCTCCCCCCCCCCCAACCCCAGCCTCTTTGTGTGTGTGATTAACTTTTCACTATAAGCTCAGATCAGCCGTTCCACGCATGATCTCAACTCAGGGTAAGCGAATGTCCATCTGTTGTTCTTACTGATGCGTAACTGTGTAACGAGGCATATTGTATGAGTGCAACTCGGGATTAGTATAAGCATGTTAACTGAAGCGCACATTCTCATAAATTAACAAGAAGGTCTGGTTTTCTATCAAGCTAAAAAGCCAATCTTTTCTCTATGGTCTACCAAAAACTTGTGCACATACTATTGTTCAATCTGGACTGAGCATATTAAAGTAGTGTATACTTTAGCTCAAAAGAAGAGGGATTATATAATAATTAGGGTCCAATGCACTTACAGTTTGTTAAATAATTAGTTAATGAAATTAATGTTATAAACATTTTTATAGATTACTTAAAATTATTCTGATGCAATTTAATTAAAATGTGGAAAAATAGCCACATATGACTCAACTATGCCTAAACGATATTTGCTGGAACAAGTGCTAAGGTCGGTGAACTCAACTCTAGTATTTACATTTTAGAAGCAGAAAGACCTTAATTGAAACTAACCTGATTTTTAATTATCTTTAACAATTTAACTTGATTTTTTTTTACCTTTAACCAACTCACCGAAATTTTTTGTAACATTCTACTGTACCAGAATTCCGACAATGCAACTGAGTAAAATAATGACATCTCTCAGTGGGAAACAAAAATGAATATTTTTGTTTAAATTTAAATTTATATCAATTAACTATATTACAAATTTAAGTTTGACACGCAAGACATGAGGGGGGGGGGGTAAATTCGTAGGAGTTGGGACAGCAAGACAAATATTCGTTTATTGAAGGAAGGGAGAGAAATAGAAATTCAAATTAAAATTCATGGTATATGTAGTTGGTATTTCTTTATGTTCGTAATACTTTAATTTAATAATTAAATTTAAAATTATGCCTTTGAATGAAGAGTCAATTAGAACAGCACTTCAGAAATGCATTTGGTATTGATCGGTTTATAAAATGCAGTTCCATTTTAATTATTTTTTTTGAAAATTTTATGAATTGTATCCTTAATCTGAAATTTTTTGGTTAGCCCTATTTTACCTTTCCATTTTCTGAAAACATTTCTTACCAACTCTGCCTTAAAATTTCTTGCTGTATACTAATAAATACATCTGCAATCAAGCTTTATTCGCATAGTTCCTGGAACAGCTATCACTCAGTAGATTATCTGCGATTAGACAATAATGTGGTTTGATCGATTTCTTCCTATCTCACACACACACACACATTCATAAGGGGTCGGTGACACCGAGCTCCCATACAGACGTACTTCCTTTTTCTCATATCTTCTATTTGCTGTTGTTGTTGTTGTTGCTGTCGTTGTTCTAAGAAGCTCAGAGTGGGTTTATTTTTACATCCATTTTACGCCCACTTTCCCACCGAACATCTGCTCCACTTCTGCTTTGAGGGTTTTTTGGCATAAGAGGCTTTTGATTTTCCGCATTCAAGTTACTTGGAAGCTCTAAAGAGATTCAGCTACTCTATTGTCTCTTTGGTTTAGACTTGCTAAGAGGTTAGGCCCACGCTTCTTCGTCTTCTTCTCAGATGACTTTTTCCTGCGAAAAACTTGAACACATATTTTTCCACCGACTTGAGTTCTAAGCAACCTTTGATTTGTCATTATCCCTAATTTTGATAGACAATTGTAGAAAAAGAGACTCAACGAATATTTGAAGCAGTTTTGCTAAAGTTAAATGGAAATTGCCTCCAGTCTTTAAACTGGTATGAGCAAACAATAGCTGTGCATGAACTTGATGAAAGAAAGAATATCAAGTCCTCTCGTCAAATTCTAGAGTTAGGTCTCTGCGGTGGTAAATATTGTCGAAGCCATTCAAAACGCTTACTTCTTGCATGTTAACTAACTGATTAACAGATTTGTCTAAAAATTCTAACGGAAAAATCGATACACCTCTATGGTGCTTTTTATGCAAGGCGGTACCTATAAGGTAGAGTTGTTGGACAGATTTTAAACAAATAAGACATAGCTAAGTGAATTAGCAAAAAGTAAATTCGTACTGCATGAACTAACAAAAGCTACCAAAATAAATAAAAAACAAGAAAGCCCTTATTAAATTATAAGCAAATATGCACGATTACTAAATGTATTCCACAATATCTGCAATCTTCTACTGGCAAGAAAGGTATAAAACATTCCGGTGAAAAATTTAGGCTATCGTAATCGCACTAATTCATAGAAATAATGAGCTTTCACTAATTTTAACATTAAATTCAATAACATGTCTGGTCAATTACCTTGAACCAATTTTGTAAACAAGAGCTGACACACTTCCATTAACATATCTACTGAATAAATGCATTTATTTTTGTCATTTGCTAATAGCTTTATAGAGTCAATATTAAAAAAACAGATATTATTCCATTGCCCAGAAGCTGTGAATGTTGAAGAACTAACTGAATTATTTTAATTTAGTTCTTTATAGCCAAATATATTTTTAAACACTATTATTTAAATGCTAAAGCTATCTAATTGTCCTCGACACTATTTTATGAGAATAAAGCAACTCTCTGTAGGTTCTTTGTAAGATCAGACCGTGCTCACACTCAAATTGTTGGCCGAATTTCATTAATTTTGCCCAACTTCATTAATTTATTCTAATTTCAAAAAATAGGTCACAATTTCATTATCCATATATTATTTTAATGCAATTCTTAACACTCTGCCAGTACCCATTTGTTGCCTGATTTATGGTATTGGATGGGCTTGAAGTTTCAGCTTTAATTGAGATTTGTGTCCATCAGCAAAATCAATAGTAAAAAAACGCGAGAAAATGCAGATTGTACTTGACGCTGAGGCTTTCGAACCCAAAACCAGAGCAGTTATTTCAAATGGCAGGCACTTTGATAGTTATCATTAGCTCATTAGCTGATTTCGGGCTTCCCAGAGAGGAGAAACATCAAAGTTATAAAACTCGAGAGGGGGACAGAATAATGATTCACAGATGCAAAAGAGACAGACAGGCACAAAGGCAGAGAAAAGGTAAGGTGAGTACTGTGGAGTTTAGAAAAGGTAGGAAAAAGGTGAGGTGAGTACTGTGGAAGATACAAATGTAGAAAAAAGGTGAGGTGAGTACTATGGAAGTATACAGACTCAGAGGTAGAAAAAAGGTGAGGTGAGTACTGTGGAAGTAGACTAATATGCCATACAGTGGGTCATGGTAGCTAGAGTCAACTGAAGGTAGAAAAAAGGCGAGGTGAGTACTGTGGAAGTGGTGAAATATGACATACAGTGGGGTGATGGTAGTTTGAAGTCAGAGGTATATGACATACAGTGGGGTGATGGTAGTTTGAAGTGAGAAATAGGTAGAAAAAAGGTGAGGTTAGTACTGTGGAAGAAGTCGACAGTAGAGCAAAGGTGAGGTGAGTACTGTGGAAGGGGTCGAATTTGACATACAGTGGGGTGATGGTAGTTTGAAGTGAGAAGTCGAAGAGAAAAGGTAAGATGAGTACTGTTGAAGTGGTCGAATTTAAGAGAAAAGGTAAGGTGAGTACTGTGGAGTGGTCGAATATGACATACAGTGGGGTCATGGTAGTTTGAAGTCAGAAGTCAACCGACAGTTAATAGACTTTTTGCCGCATGAGAATACGTTGCCCAGGGTGCACCACGTGGAGATAAGTCTACCGCGAACTCCACAACCAAAGTATCGATTCTTCAAGTCACTAGTAGATCATAGCATTGTCCATATTTAGTTGGGTAGAATCACCAATGCAGAAATCGATATAAAATAAACTAAATGCAACTGAATAAATACCAATGAAAGGAAATTTTATTTTGAATATTAAAAAATAAACTGCTAGATATATCACAATGCATTTTATTTTCTCTTGAATTCTCTAAGTCAGCTACTTATATTAACTCCTGTTAAAGGGCCTATAAATGCTTCAAAGATAGGCTTAACTCCAGCGGTATGCATGAATATTATCCTATTAATTAATACTTTCAAACAAACACACACATTTTATGCATAATTAGAAACAGGTTATTAATTTAAAATTATTCATTTTCATTCAACATTTATAAGTAATTGCAATATTCGACCTCAGGCAAATGCTTCCCCCTCAATTTGTGGTAGAACCTCGAAACTGA